GGTTGAAGCGTAGGAGATGTTGGGTGGGGACATGAGCGTGATAGCCCAGCCGTCCACGGCGATGTCCTGAGTCGCGCAGAACAACACTAGCATGAACCACCAGTACGTGAACTTCCAGACACCCGCGCCACTATTGGCTCCGGCCTGGACCATCATCTCTTCAATGTGCCCACCCAAGTAGATCATCGCGAGACCGGCAATGACTTGCACCGGTGTAATCCAACTCTTGCGGCGCCCAAAGCGCGTACTCCAAACTGCGTCGACAATCGGACTCCAAAACAGTTTGAGAGAATAGGGGTACGAGGCGAGCGAGAACACGCCAATCTGGCCGTATGAAAGGTACGGCTTGAGCAGGAATGGCACAGAGCCTGTGGCCAGACCCATGGGCACTCCCTGCAGGAAATACAGCAGACACAGTAGGAGGAAATTCCGGCGATCGCTCGCGGGCAGGTTGTGGAAGGTTGTATTTGCCATCACAGGCGTCTGTGGGAGGACGGCAGGCTCGTTATCGAGGGAGAAGCTGTGTCGTGACATGAGGGCTGCGGTTCGATCGGCGGATGACTCGGAGGAGGGCGTGTCCCGCCTGCGCATTTCTATATTGTTGTTCATCTTGCCATTCGCATGGCCGTTCGATCCAGTCGCTAGTTTTAGGCTGGGTTTGGAGCGACGTTTGGAGAGGCTCGCGTTCTTGCGTGTCATTGAAGTATAGTGTCGGGTTGAGGGTCCGCGTGTGAGGACAGAGTTGAATTGAAGCAAGTGACAGAAGGGAGTGGGATGAGATACCCAAGGAGCCCAAGTTGGATTAATAAAAGAGTGAATGCATGAGCGTGGAAAGGAATGGGGAGTTGAACATTGGAAGTTTGCAAACTGGCCTCTTGGCTGTCAAGTGGATTCTGCAAATCCGGGGCAGTGCAGGGTCTCCGTCAGATAGTCAGTGCAGTTCCTTTACAAGTTGACTTCCAAGGTTAGTTTATGTCACTATTATTACACACTCATTTATATCTACATGCCCAAGTGTATAGCTAATTTATAGCTTATGAACTACCTAGTCAAATAATACCTGTACCTAAAGTACCACGTTGACCAAAGGGACTAAGTTAGATAGGTTACATAGATAAAGAATAGCTAAGTTAACCATTATTAATCCGACAAGTGACCCTGGCAATATCGCCGATCACTATAAATTGTCTCTTGTTTGCTCGACTCCCAAGGCCAAGCTTCTGCACGGTCGCGTCAAGTGTTGACTGTCACGTGCCCAAACAAACATCCACGAGTCCCAAGCCCACTGTCATCACCACCTCAGGCGCAAGAAGCCAGTCTTAGCCAAATCACAACCAAAATGAACACAACAAACCCGAGCAAACGCACAACCCCAGACTCCCAAGAAGAAGAACTAGACACCTCAATAACCTCAATCCGCGCCGAAAGTAACCACCACCGTCCAACAAACCAAACCCAAGCTCTTCCCAAGCTAACAGAATCCAGTCCAAACCCTCCAAAAGCGCAAACGCCTCCTGACATCCAGCCTGTTAACAACAACCCAAATCCAATCCCTCCTCCGCACCCCTAAAACCGAATCCACAACCAACCTCGAACACCTCTCGCCACTAGTCCACGCCGCAGGCAAACACAACACCTCGAACCACCACCGCATAGCCTTCGGCGTAACAACCTTCCCATTCAAAGACCCATCACCTACAATAAACGCACAAAATAAGAACCTCCTCGGTGTGCGCATTGATGTCTGCACGCGCAATGGACGGTTCGCGAAGCCTTATTATGTCCTCCTTCGTTCGGAGAGGAGGCATGCTGCTGGGAAGGAGAGTGGCAGGAGGTTGAGGGTCCATCGGCATACCGTGCCCTCGTTTATCTCCGTTGCGAAGCTTGAGCATGTTTATCTGCCGCGGGCTCGTCGTCATGAGGAAGGAGGAGATGGGGATACATCCTCCGAGGAGACCGCGCCAACAAAGACAAGCAAGAAACATCCCTCTACGCACAAACAAGACCTAGGTGGATTCGTGCGCGAATTACGCCGGGAACTGGTCGCGTGGCATACGCGCATCGACGCTATTGACCTTCTACGCGAATGGGTTGGGCTGGTCGATTCAGAGGGACGGCCCATACCAGCCGAGGAGGTATCGCCTGACCCGAGTACGGGCATTGTGGGGTTAGCGGCTGTTCCGATTGAGGCGCGGTATGTGCGTGTTGAGTGGGAGGATGGGCGTGTGGGACGGTTTAAGTTGTCTAATGGTGGGATTGTGGAGAGGGCTGTTGTTATTGGGGATGCTGGGCGTGATAAACGGACAGAGGATTTAATGACAGGGGGTGGGGGGAGGATTGAAGGTATTCTTGATCGGTTGAGGGCTGGGTCTGGGGCTGTATCACCGTCTTGATTTCCTTGGACTTTGATGTTGGGATGTCGCCGGTGCCAGGTGGTTATGGTTATGTGATATGTGATAAATGTTTTAGCGTGAGATACCCCGATACTGTTTAGCAAGTTACTACCGAGTACAGTCCAAAGAAGTAGATTGAGAACGCAAATGCACTTGATATATCTATTCAATGATTCCACCTAGAGCTATGCAACCAGAAGACAAGCGCCGCAATCCATATGTAGTGCTCAAATTGTATGTCCAAAAGGTCAGAATTCCGACATCATTACAAGAAGGGTAGGGGCATAACAAGGGCAGAGAAATACAGCAAGTCTAGGATACCATGCCTGGGTCAGGCATTAGATAAAAAGACCTGAAGAAGAGTATTATAAAGGGTATTAGCGATAGATGTCGTGTCATCGTGGGCTCCAAGATCCAAGATCCAAATTAGGGTGCCACGCCATCCCGAGCGGGATGGATTGTGTCCGGGGTACTCGATGCTCCCAGAGGCGAGGACTCGGGGACGGTAATGGTAACGGGGGTATCGGTGTCGGGAGTGGTGTTTGTGAATGAGACAGGTGGCAGGGGGCCGTATAATTGGCCATGTCGCACTTCGAGGGTTCGGCGAAGGATAGCTTCTTCTAACTGCCATCTGTCACGCAGTGAAGTCTTCTTTGAGTCCAGGGCTTGGGTGAGGGATATTTCCTCGGCTTGTTGCTCTTGCTGGAGAGTGGTGATATCCTGCTCGTGTTGTTTGCACATCGCATTCAGTTCCTTTTCTAGGCGTGCCATGGTTTCTTGTAGCTTGACTTCTTGACGGTCACGGAGGACTTTGATGCGGGCGTCGTGGAGCTGGTCCATGGACTCGTGGTCGTGGTATTGCTGTTCTAGTTGCTCCATGTGCTGCCGAGTGAATTGTCGGGTTGGTGGGGGGGAAGCGGAGTCTGAGAACGAGCCGGATGACCGCTCGGTTGTTGTCGCTGTTATGGAGGGAGAGGGTGGTGGGCTGGCGTTGCGGAAATAGCCCTCCATATGCTTGATGCGGGTGGCCGAGTTCATCTTGGCACGGTCGAACTCGCGTTGCTGTTCGATTTCGACTGCAAGTTGTCGCTCTTCAAGTCGGATTGTGTCGTCGATGTTCTTTTCACGCTTCTCATCCTCCCGACGCTGGTTCTCAGACTGCTGTTCAGACACAGCATCCTGGTGCCGGCGCCGAAGGATGTTTAGGGCGGTCTCCTGAAAAGCAAGGTGACGATTCTTTTCCATTTCTTGTCGCTTGTGCAACTCACTAAGCTCGGGATCATCCAAGCTTCGCTGCAAGGCTTCCTTGTTGAACAGAGGAATTCTCAGCCTGGGAAGAGGGGCTTCGGTGGTCCTCTTGGGAGAACGAGGAATAGCCGGGGGAATATCCCCATCATCAGGATTGTTAGATCCAGGCGTAGGCTCGAGGTAGACATGATCCACGCCTTTGTCGCTCTTGGAGAGGGTAATGCGCGAGTCAGGAGACATGACGATTGGCGGGGAAGTGCGCCTCTTGCGAAAATGAATCCGTCCAATGGCAGATTTCAAACTGCTGCGTCGCTTCTCCTTCTTATCGGCAGAAGCGACACTCAGCATGGAATGACGATGCGATTTGCCCTCAAAGGGATCATTATTGTATCCATGCCCCGCAAGTCCCGTCCTCCCCTCGCTCGAACAAAACGAGGTAGGACGGGTAGAGAGCGACGCCAGCGAGCGCGTACTGCCAGGGTTGATATGATCAGAAGCAATTGTAATCTCCGACAATGACGACACAACCTGATCAAGCGCAGAGGTCGACGGAGAACCGGGTTCATGAGACGGGGTAACGGAGCCATCGTAGACGGAAATGCGATCGGTCGACGAGCCTGACGAGAGAAGGGGCGAGGAAAGCTCGAGTAAACCCGATGCGATCGAGGCAGACAGCGGCGCAGTAGCTTCCATTTCTGGCATCTTCACGCCCAGTTGTCGGGCTTCGTCAGCCAGCTGTTGCGCCCGCGCTTGTTCGGCTTCTGGTGACGAGAGGTTGAGTACATCCCGGCGGTACTGGGCCTCGTCGAAAATAGGCCCGTTAGACTCCATGGCCATATATGTACAGGGGTATGGGGCGCCGAGCCAGCGGGCGCATAAGCTGGTGCGCGGTACCGTTAAAAGGAGTGGACTCGCCCACGGCACTAGCAGTACGGTGGACGAGAGGGGTTCAATGACGGCATCCGCCTGGTAAAGTTAGGAGGGGTGAAGCTCTGTAAGGACAGGAAGGTGGAGGTAAAGGTCAAAGCGAAATAACAGGAAAGGGGAAGATGATACGGGTTTTTTAGTATCAAAGACCCACGCCCTGACGCAATCCTCTACATGACTATTTTGTATAAACAGGGTACTGTCAAGCATAAACTTCTTAGCTAGTAACTTTAACTAACTAGGTAGCTACCTATAGGCATGCACAAAAGTAAAGTCCACGGGTTAAATGCTAAACTTAACTCTTATCACCCCTCTATACAAAAGTACGAGTTGGGAAATTAGGGCTTAGGGCTTGACGTAACAGCCTCGGTCCCAGCGGAAGGCGACGGATGATGTTCGGGTCAGGCCAGGAACATATGATCTTAAGATACTTCAGCTATTCATATTCAGCATGTCAACTGCCAGCTTGTAGGCCCGATCTTTAGCTTCGTATTGTGGAGTTCCCGCCCTCGTGCGCTTGTCCCACGCATGAGTACAGCCCGCCATGCGTTGGCTGACCACATGCCGCCCAGGTAACTCCTCAACCTTCTGAGCCAACTCCTCTGCCTCATGCGCAAGAGAGTCACCATCTGCAGTAATCATGAGGAGGCGACGTGGGAACTGTTCTGCCTGTGCGAAAAGCGGTGAGATGCGTGGGTCCCGTTTATCAAAGGTAGAAGGGATATAGCAGCGGTTGAACAGGCGCCCGACCGGAACGGGGATCGCCCGGCCCTGGTCGACTGGAGCGGACTTTGCGGCGCCATCTTTGTTCAGGTCGGTCACGGGATAGTATGCCAATAGGGAGCGGAAAGTGTCGGCCGGGAAGAGGTTGGCAGCGGCGGCTAGCGCGAGGTTACCTCCAGCGCTGAAGCCTGAGAGGGACACATGGGTGAGATCGAATTCATCTGGGCGTGCCAGCACATATTTGATGGCATCTTCAACGTCGTTTAGAGCGGCGGGGAAGGGATGTTCCGGCGCAAGACGATATGGGCAATCGAGGACTGTATATTTGGTCTCGCGACTGACTTGCCGGCAGAACTCGTCGTCGGTGCCATGATGTGGTAGTATGAACCCACTGCCGTGAAAGTTGAGAAGGACAGGCGATGGTCCGGTGGTGGAAGAGCGATACACATGAGCCTTGATCGATCGGCCAGCATCTCGGGACTTGATATGGCACACTTCATCCGGTGTAGCATGCACGGGGTTTACGAGCCCGATGATAAATCGAAAGATGACTGCCAGGCATTTATCTCGCCAATAGGATATAATAGACATGTTTGGGAGGTTGTTGAAGATGAGGCATAGCCGAGGCTCCACAGCTGGTTAAGAACGCCATTAACATGCTGATCTCCACCTGTTTCAATCCAGCCCATCTCCTCTTGTTATTCTGCATGGTTTATCTTTCAAGACACCTTTCTCGCTTCTTGCAACCCCTCTTTTAAAATGCTAGCCTTAAATCGCAACGCTCAGTCCCGGCTCTTCTACTCTCCTCTCTGGTCTAACAGTATACATGTTCCAAGCTTCTAAGCTATACATATAGCATAGTTTTTAGCCCCATCAAACCGATTCCCTTCTAGTTCTTGTGTCTGTGTACATAACAAATCGTTTGAATGGCCAGCTGGTGAAAATAAAAATCGCCAGGATCTTCGTATGTGACGAGAGTACGCCGATGGGCCTCACAGATATATCGTCAACTAGTAGCCGGTCTTATCAAGTTCCACTAATAGCTGCTCTACTTGTTCTCCTAGATGAGGAATGCACTGAAATCAGACTTGTGGTGATTCTAGGCTGGCGCCAGTCGTAGTGAGGCATTACTGTACTGTGCCTGTGATCTAAAACATCCATCTCTTCAACTAATATCGCTCTTCCGCAACGCGAAGTATAAGAATCCAGATACGAGATAATATGTAGCAGCATTCCACCCACTACTTATTTATTGCTAACTTCCCAATACTCTATATATGGTGTGCGTCGATATACGTCATACTCCTGTGTATTTATCTGTTGCCACGCAAACTTCGACGTCAATCCCAGCCAACATTAAATCTCCACGCAAAGTCTCTGTATATGCCACGCACCATCTCCGCCAATAAAGACGACCCGCCGTGACGCCTCCTCCCAACATCACATCTACTCTATAGCTTTTAATCCCCAAGTCTCGGGCCATATTATTCTAATCTCTATCTCCAAGTTCCTCACCTATTGAACATAATAACGTATCAAGTTAGACGCGACCGCCAACCCTTAACCCTCCTGCTTGCTATCTCCGTACAAGATGGCCATCAAAGCCGACCCCAGCGATACGAAATTCACAGTGTTCATCCGCTTGCCCTTCCCAAGGGGCGATTTTGTTGACCCACCGCCAGTAAGTTCTCCCAGGGGGTCTCTATCTCTGTTTGACCTCTACTGACGACAACAGGTGGAATGGGATGCATACAAAGACCAAGCGCTTTGGGATATCCTTTCGCGCCCATCGAAAGGAGACATAGATTGTATGTTACTGCATCAACCAACATCTATGTTTGATACATGGCTGACACCACGACAGGGAAAGCGCTGTAAATATCCTTACACTGCGGCTTGCAGCCGGTTACTGACCCCTTTTGTCTAGTGCAGAGAACTTTGAGGTTACCTTGCAATTTTTGCTTCAGCAAGCTGCCTGGCTCTATGATCGACAGTTGTCTCAGGTCCGGGCTCAGATACGCAAAGTTGGTACTACGCAGTCGAATTCCCCTTCTCCGGCTCCTGGGTCTGTCTCTGGGAGTACGGCTTTGGGTGGGCAGGTGCAGAAGGATATGCCGGTGACAGGTATTTATTATCGATTATGGTTCTCTCTAAGGAGATGGAGCTAACTATGAGCAGGACCTCGAGGAGCGACGAGACAGGGGTCTCAGCAGAAGGATATCCCGCGACGATGTATGAAGCTAGTCCTATCAGATGGACCAAATAACCTAACGTTGACTACAGCTCTTGATGATCGGCGCACTAGTACCCCGACTACGGCTGGAACACAGCAACGCGGGCCGCAAGACCCTACTCGCACTGACACCCCCACAGCTGAGGAGAAAGACTCACACTGGGATTCCCTAGGCCGTCATCCTTCGGTCGCCCGACGGGAACAGCCTCCCGCACCTGTGCTCCGATCACCCCCGCTGGAGGAAGAAGATCTATCTTCTAGCCTCTCGGAAGAATCTGATTCCGATGAAGAGACCAGCAGACGCATGCCCCGATTCAAACGATTTGGCAAATTCTCTACCCAGCGCTCCGGTCTCCGGGATGATGAAGATGACGAAGACGACACTCCGGCATTCCTCCCTCTTGTTCGGGAAAACGAACAAACCCAACGCGAACGACCCGCACAAGAACTCAGCGCTACTCTTCGCTTAGGTGCCGAACGAGCAGCGCAACGACGACGCGGCCCAGAGCGGCCCGGTCCTATAATCCCTGCAACAGATTCATCTACTAGCTCCATGAGTTCCGGAGCTCCTGTCAGTCTATCCCCCAGCGACAGCAGACGGATGAACCCCACTGCACCAACCCTGAACACCCAGCGACTCCCCGAATCCCGTCAGAATTCCCGCAAGTCTACGGCATCCGGGCGCGAGACTAGTGATGGTACCCCCAGCATGGGAAGCAGCTTTAGTGATCTTGACGGTGCGTACCCTGAGCCTGAGGACCTTGGGTTCCTACTGATCGACCCTGCCATAGATGCAAGCGTTACCCAATCTGCCCTGGAGGAAGCTCTTCTGAGTAACATGCAGCATGGTGGGATGGCAAGCCGGATGAGCACAATCAGCCAGGCACTTCGCAGTCGCTATCTGCAGTGATACATAGGGTCAATCTCATGGATATTCCACCCCAGCGCTGTAGTATGATGTAGCAATTCCGTAAGCGTCATCCCGCACGTGACCCCGCATCAAGTCGCTCCGACAGCCTCGGTGACAGCGATCCTCGGTGTCCTCGGCATATTTTGGCATAATTAAGCAGAGTTGCATCCCGACAGTTCAACATTTATCAGTCATCGGTCAAACGGGAGCGCTAACGCCGGATCAGGCAGTTCTGTCTCAACGCCCGGATTGATGGTGGGGTACTTGAAGCACTCAAGCCCGCATTAAATTGACCAGATCTCTTGCGAGTGTAACCGGTCAGAGCCAATGCGAGTCTGACCGCAATTCATAAATACCCCACCAAAGCGGCATCCTCGGCATCTCATCGACACAAAGCTGCTTGTTTTTCACAATCACTCATACCCCGCGCATAGCTAGCAATCAAGCTACACAGCTCACACCTCACAATGGGAGCTCCATCAGTCGGCGAAATGTCGCCAACCGAAGCTGAATCAGTCTATTTCAATGAATACCCCCCACCAAAAGCTCTCCCCAAACACGAAGCGCTGGCGCGCGCATTCATCAACCAGCACGTGGAAGAGCACAGACGAGTAGCTCTCGTCACCTCCGGAGGCACAACAGTCCCCCTAGAAGCACAAACCGTCCGATTTATCGACAACTTCTCCGCCGGAACGCGCGGTGCCACATCTGCCGAGTACTTCCTAGAGCAGGGATACGCCGTGATCTTCCTGCACCGCCAATACAGTCTCCTCCCATACTCCCGGCACTACAGCCACTCAACAAACTGTTTCCTGGACTTCATGGACGAAGCGTCACCGTCCTCAGAATCCTCCAATTCAGGCAGCGATAACGGACCGATCAAGGTGCGCGACGAGTATCAAGACGAGATGCGCAGCGTGCTCCGCAAATACCGCTACGCAAAACAAAACAACCGCCTCCTTCTTCTCCCCTTCACAACCGTCTCCGAATACATGTTTGAGCTGCGCTCCCTAGCACAGCTCATGCGACCCCTGGGTGCCAATGCCCTCTTCTACCTCGCCGCCGCAGTCAGCGACTTCTTCATCCCGCGTAGCCGAATGGCCGAACACAAGATTCAATCTATGGAAATACCCGCCAACTTCCAAGACAACAACGCCGTCGACTCAAACGACATCTACACCGGCGAAAACGAAGAAGAACCCTCGAGCCGCAAGAAACTCGTCGTGCACCTCGATCCCGTACCGAAGTTCCTACACCGCCTCGTGGACGGCTGGGCGCCAGAGGGAAGCATGATTGTCTCGTTCAAACTAGAGACGGATCCCTCCCTGCTTGTCTACAAAGCGCGTACTGCCTTGCAGCGGTATTCGCATCATCTTGTTATTGGTAACTTGCTCTCCACGCGGAAGTGGGAGGTTGTCTTTATTACGCCTGATGCGCCGCATGAACGCTGGCTGCGGGTTCCAAAGTCGAGGCGTAGTAAGAGTATTTCGGGGGTTGAGGATCAGGTTGGGTTGGCGGAGGCTATGAAGGGGAACACTGTGCCTGTTGAGCAGACTGAGGGGGATCAGGTTCCTGATGGGAGTCGGGATGGGATTGAGATTGAGACTCTTATTATTCCAGAGTTGATTAAGTTGCATGATAAGATGATTGAGAAGAAGGCTCAATCTACGCAGTGAGGGATGTATACTTTGGTTGAAAGAGTGAAAAGAGTTACGTCCGTTTTCATGGTATAAGCATCTAGGTTAAGTTAATATGTATATTCTTCGGTCTTATAAGTTAGACAATCATTCATTAATCAGTCTACATGTATCTTCCCACTTTCCAGCAAGACTATTGCAGCTAGAATTGTATGCCATCAGCCATCGACTCGATCCCTGACGGTAATCCAATCACAGCTGCCGTCTAGACCCACAATGAATGGCTGAGTTGAGCCTTTGCAAGATCCGCCAATCAGCAGCTGTCAATCACAGATATCTCCGAGCAGGAGTATATGGCTGACTTGATCCATACGAATGACACGAAACGGCTGGTTCAACACCAAATTTACAGTCGAGTCCACAAAGGTATTTAAAGCAGGCTGAGAACCAGTTCCATAGACATACCAGACAACATCAAACTTGCAAATTCTTCCACAGACAAAAGACAAACGTCAACATGGACCGTTCCGCATTCAAACCTGCCTACAAAGGCGCTATGAGATACAACAAGTAAGGGATCCAATCTACAATCCACCAATCATCCCTACTAACCAATCCCAATATGAAGCCTCGGAAAATCAGGCCTGAAAATCTCCAAGATAGTCCTAGGCGCAATGTCCTTCGGAAACTCAGAGGGCTGGCACATCCCCGAAGAAAAAGCCCTTCCAGTTCTCAAAGAAGCCTACGATAAAGGAATCAACACATGGGACACGGTACAGACCCAAGCCCATCCACCCACCCACTCTTCCCACTATACTAACAACCCCCTAGGCAGACGTCTACTCCTTCGGCGAGTCAGAACGCATAGTCGGCAAAGCCCTAAAGGAATACAACATCCCGCGCGAACGCGTGGTAATCCTATCCAAATGCTACGCCGGACTCCCGAACCCAGGCGACATGGACGGGCTATCAGATATCGAAAAGATGTCTGTTATGATCGCCAATGACGGGATAATGGTTAACCGAATCGGTCTTTCTCGCAAGCATATCTTCGATGCGGTAGATGCCAGTGTCGAGAGACTCGGGACATATATGGATGTGTTGCAGATCCATCGGCTTGATCGGGATACCCCCCGTGAGGAGATCATGAAGGCTCTGAATGATGTTGTTGAGAGTGGGAAGGTGCGGTATCTCGGTGCTAGTTCGGTTAGTGGAATCACCTACTATTCTCTCTTTTCTTCTAGTTTCCTTTCTGTTGGCGTTCCCTTACTGACACCTGCACTCTTCTCGGAACAGATGCACGCCTGGGAATTCCAAGCATTGAATAACATTGCCTCAGAGAATGGCTGGCACAAATTCATCAGTATGCAGGATTACTACTCCCTCCTCCACCGCGAAGAAGAGCGCGAAATGCACCCCTACTGCCGTGATGCCGGAATTGGGATTATCCCCTGGTCGCCTCTGTCGCGTGGTCTCCTTACGCGCCCTTACCAGGCGACGCAGGAGCAGCCGACTGTGCGGCAGGGAACGGATTTCACGGCTGAGTGGTTGATGGGTGGGACGACGGAGGCGGATATCGCTATTATCAACCGAGTTGAGGAATTGGCGCAGGAGAAGGGGTGTAGTATGGCGCAGATTGGGATTGTGTGGTGTCTGGTTAAGGGGGTTAATCCTATTGTTGGGTTGTCGAGTTCGAAGAGGCTTGATGAGGCTGTGCAGGCTGTAGCCTTGTTTGAGGGTGGGGTGTTGACTGAGGCGGATGTGAAGTCGTTGGATGATCTTTATGTTCCTAAGATGGCTTTGTCGGGGACTTGGTGATTGTTAAGCTTGAGTGTTAGTGTTATTATGTCCATATTATATGAGTTTTTTGTACTTCGTATACATCCAATGTAACGTTAATGGCATCTTTGTCGACTTGAACGTGGTATGTCATGCTGATCCCTGTGGATCCCAGCTAGTTTAGCGGGAACAGCTAAGCTGTAGCTACCCCTGAAGACACGGGAAACACTTCAACATCAAGGGGGAAATGATGCGCGAGGAAAGTCAAGGGTTAACTATGCCATACTTGAGGGGCGACGCGTCCCGATGTGTCAGCACAGACGTCGATCATCTTAGCGCCAACATTTCCCCAGTTCCTCGAGTTCCTCGAGGATGAGGCCTGACTGTCACTCAACACAGGATGGTCCCCCGTCGCCGGTTCAGCCGCCGCGTAATTGCCGTAGCAGCCGCCATCGCCCTCTTCCTCCTGTACACCTGCTCCTCCAGTGGCGATCGCCAATGGCGCCCTCACTTCACAACCACAGACATCACCCCAGACCTCGATGAGAATGGCGAACCCGCTCCATTCTGTCCGCCATTACCAGGCATTGAGGATGTACTAGTGGTAATGAAGACCGGAGTAACAGAATCGCAAGAGAAGGTCCCCATCCACTTCGGAACCACCCTACGCTGCATCCCCCACTATGTGATATACTCCGACTTCGAAGAAGAAATCCAAGGCGTCAAAATCCACGATGTCCTCCGAAACATGGACAGCGCCGCCAAAGCAAACCCAGACTTCGAATTCTATAATCGCATCGTGAAACAAGGCCGCAGGGGTTTAGAGCAGCAGGACTTCGCAGACGAAGCCAACTCGGCAATCGGGAAACCCAACAACCCAGGCTGGAAACTGGACAAATGGAAATTCCTCCCAATGGCCCAGGAATCATTGCGCCACAAGCCAGACGCTAAATGGTTCGTCTTCATCGAAGCAGACACCTACGTCTCATGGCCAACAATCCTCGCCTGGCTAGCCCGCTTCGATCCCCGCAAGCCACACTACCTCGGCACAGAAACACAAATCGCAGACGTCATCTTCGCACACGGTGGCTCGGGCTTCGTCCTTTCGAACCCGGCTCTACAGCGCGCCTCGGATGAGTATAGTACCCGCGAGGTCGAGCTAAACAGCTATACAGACCAGCACTGGGCAGGCGATTGCGTGCTGGGTAAGGTTCTCGCCGACGCAGGCGTCAACCTGCACTTTACCTGGCCGATCCTGCAAAACTCCAACCTAGGCGAATTGGACGAATTCACAATCGACTTCGTCCGTCGTCCGTGGTGTTTCATCGCCGTCGCCTTCCACCACCTCTCCCCAATTGACATTGAGAATCTCTGGAAATTCGAACAAAAGCGCTGGCGCGATGTAAGCACCCCATCCCAACCACACCTCTAAAAACAATCCCACTAATCCTAACCCACCAATCCAGAAAAACAAGCGCCTCCTCCTGCACAGCGACCTATTCCGCGAATACATCTACCAAGAAATCGCCACGCAACCCGTGCGCCTGAACTGGGATAACGCCGCAAACGAAGACCAACCCTTCGCGAAAACCTTCGAAGACTGCCGGGAAGTCTGCGAGGTGTCGAAAACATGCATGCAATTCTCGTTCCGCGATCAGAAGTGTTTCACGGCGTCGAGGCCGCGGCTGGGTAATTCTGTGGCTGTGTCTGCGGATGCGACTTCGGGTTGGATTGTTCCTCGGATAAGGGATCTTATGGAGAAGACTGGGTATTGTCGGAAACCCGAGTTTGGGGATTAATATGGGTATGGATATGGATATGTGACATCGGGGTTTGTATTTGTATTCCTTGGGGATATTGCTTGGGCGATCTTTATTGGATGGCTTTTTGGTTGGGTTGGGTTATTTTTGCATGGAGGAGAGCTTTATTGAGCTTTGTTCGTTGGGTTGGTTTTACCACTGGTATACATTGGATTAGGTATGTATACCTGACTGCCTAGGTGGGTATGGGCATGGGCGTGGGCATTTCGGGCTCGGTGAGGTTGTGAGGTTAAATCTCTTGCCTCTGGTCTTTGGTCTTTGGTCTCGGACCGTGTACTACCATTTTATTGTCAATTCTCTGGATGGTCATGGATAGACATTTCTGTTTGGCGTTGGTGTTTTGCTGGGATTATCTTTATATATTGATCACTGAACACAAGATCGGATTCATTCAAACCAACCCTTCTACTAATCCTTCTTGGTTAATCACAATCATTACACTCTACTCTAGGCTCTCTGAAACACAAGTATGGTAGAAGATGATCACAAAGAAACGAACGAGAGTATCATTGCGCGGACGGTGTCAAGACACCAACTAGGAAGAGAGATTATACACTAAGGATATATAACGAAGGAAAGCCTTGCTTCGAATCTGTACAAAAACCACAAACAAGCCATACTCACAGTGCCGGAGCGGACGCATCCTCCAAACACTGGTCAATGCGCATGATGTGATACCCAGCGCTCTTCACATGCCGAATGAACTGCGGGAGATACCCAATTGTAGTCGGGTTAAGGTAGTGCATCACAGCGAGGTTTCCACCTTTTGCCACACCGCGGTAGAATGCATCCAGTTGTTTCTCTGGTGAGGATGTATTGGCCCAGAGCCAATCCTCGACGTCCACGCTCCAATTCACGATGTAGGGGTTTGCAATGTGTCGAGAGAGTTGCTGGCGTAGGCGTGCTGCTACTGTGCCGAACGGTGGTCGGAAGTATGAAGCTGTAGAGAGCAACTGAGTTAGCAGCATTGTCATCGGAAAGAAGTATAAGAGGACTACATACACTCAATACCCAGTTGGTCTTTGAATACCTGTATCATCTGGATAATCTCGTCATCAATTTGACCAACGGTGGGAAGTGATTCCATCCTATTTGACCCTGTCAGCACCTCGACGCAAGGAATTGTTGCGGCGAACTGACTTCGGATGAGTATTCGAATGGAGCGCAATCTGATGACCTTTCTTCAACATCTCCTTATAGAACGCAGTGAAATTCGACGACCGATCTCTGAGTCCAACCCCGACAACAAAAAAAGTCACTCGCACATTCTCCTCGTCAAGGATACGCATGACTCTCTGAGAAAACTGGGGCTGCCCATCATCGATGCCAAAAGCAAACGAGTTCGGACGCGAACAACGAAGCACCAACCTACCACTTGGCAGCTTTCCAGGCAAACGAAAATGACCATTCTCTGGCGATGGCACTGGGACAGCAGAAACGATCTCAACCCGATGTAGCGTCATGGGTTCTTCGGTATAGAAGCCATGGAAAGAAACAGAGACAACCCGATTGAAATCGATCTCGAAGTGAGTGAGGGGAATATAGAGGTCACGGTGGCCCAGTGGAATTTTGGCACTACCTTTGGCACTACCTTTGGCATGCTTGGGTCGTCGACCGTTCTGACAATGTCTCCCAAGCTTGCCATAAGTGTCCCTCGGAGTAACCATATCCATATCATCATCTTCATCGTAGTCATCATCTTCATAGTCCCAATCATCATCGCGCGACTCCTCAGCGTCTGGGCGTACTACGTATCGCTCTGCTTGGACTGAATCCGCGACGCTGGGGAAGGGACTGCGGTGTGGATTGCATTCGTCATTGTGTTGGTTCAATGAGACGCTGAATTTATCTGTGCCTTCGAAGACGACATGTAGGAGATCATTGTACCATGGCATAAGGCTGTAGCAAGTGTTGGAATCGAACTGAGTGTGGAAGTTCTGGTCTGGGTCTTTTGGGAGCAGACGGATGAACCCCGGTCCATGTTGCACTGAGAGATTCTCGCCAGAGCCGTGCCAAAATCCCAGGTCATTGTGGATTGGGTTCTGGAAGGTATCGATGACAAAGGGAGGCTCTGTCTTCTGCTTGTGTGATGTATTTAGGGTGTCTCGGAGTTCATTCCAGTGGCCGTGGTTGACCGGTCCATAATAAAGGGCTGTAGTGGTGAGAAATAGAGAAAGAGTGATGACAGAGCCTATGAATAAGCGATGCATGATGAAGACCTAGAGTTTGTAAAAGAGTGAGTGTGCTTGAAGGAGAAGAGGTTGAGTTGTGTAGGAAAGGTAAAGAGCGATGGTCTACCCATAAGGCAGGCACCTCAGATCTACAGGAAAACAAATGATGGAGTCAGGTCTTAATTCAGTAAACTAAACTAAAATCATTGTAAAATCCCCCAGCAAAATCGAAAGATATCCATACGCCTCGCTGTCTCGGTTTGCATACGTGCATGCGCGGTTCTCTCTTGGTTTTCATCCTTTTGTTTTCCTTTTTCATTTTTCCTTGTGTTGTTCTCCTTGCTTTCTTTGTCGCTCAAATTTGGACGTGTTCAATCGAAGAACCTTAGTTCCAGATGTCATCGCTCTCGGCAGCTTTCCAGTTAGACTGAGTGGAGGCCTCGGCGGCAGGCTCATCACCATCGGCTTCGGCAGCGAGAGGCTCTTCATCAGCAACCTGAGAAGATGTTTTGTTCTCTTTCTGCCCGGAAGCTTCGTTGTCCGAGTCGTCATCGAAGTCCAGCACGTCACCTTCAGGACGATAGCCTTCGAGAAAATCAGGCACCTGTTGCTTGCACTCGATGAGGATCTTGACGAGCTCGGTAGCAAGTTCCTCGTTCCGATCATTGTAGAATGAACTGGCGAGACCCTCATTGCCAATTCGAGCAGTGCGTCCTGTGAATACGAGATGTGGTATTAGCCAGAAGCTCAAAAATGGACCAGAAACCACACTCTATATAAAAATACATACCGATTCTGTGGATGTACTCAGTGATACCTCCGTGCATGGCACTGGGCAGGTCGTAGTTGATGACATGAAGCACGTTAATGACATCAAGTCCACGGGCTGAGACTCCAGTTGCAACCATGACAGGGCATTTGGCGGTGCGGAAAGCACGACTGTTTGACTCATTAATAAGCGCAGGTGAAGGTGAACAGAAACAAAACTTGCATAGCATCCTCGCGCTCACGTTGAGTTCTACCACTGTGGATAGAGGTGGACGGAATTCCAGAGTTGTACAGGAAGTCGTCAACAAAGTCCACCTGTTCCTTGCTGTTGACGAAAACCAGAGTGCGCACAGGCGGCATGCTGACAATAAGGTCATAGATGGCCTTCATCTTCTTGTCCGAATCAGCGTAGATAATCTAAGAGTGTAAGCACCAACATCAACATGTTTTCGAGTCTGTACATAAGCATACATGCTGGGTAACATTGCTGTGAGAACTGCCAGCGCGGCCGACACGAAGGCGCACATAATCATCACTAAGATGTTCTTTGGCGAGCTGTCGGAATTCCTTGTCGAATGTGGCCGAAAACATCATGTAATGATGATCCGCATCCTCGTTCACATCTTGTTCAAGTCAGAGCATGTACATTAAAGATCCAGCAGAGGAAAAGACTGATGGAACCAAGGACAAGGAAACGCTTACCTCCACCAGACATGATACGTCGAAATTCATCCCCCCAGTCTGCCTGGAGCAGCTCATCGGCCTCATCGATAACAGTGTATCTAGTCATCATTAGTTTGCAATATTCGACAATGATCGTATCTAGGCTGAATCAGCAGGGTTACATACCTAACTCGACGAAGAGAGAGCACGTGGGTCTGCGACATAAAGTCCAGAAGACGACCGGGAGTTGCAATGAGGATATCGCATCCTTTCTGAAGTTCTTCCCGCTGAAGCCCAGAAGGAGCACCACCATAAACAACACATGGGCGCAGCATGGAACGGTAACACAATCTGCGGGACTCGTCGAAGATTTGGGTAGCGAGCTCGCGGGTGGGACACACGATCAGAACCAGAGGCTCGGCTCGAACTGCATCTGTCGCAGGGTTGAAGCCCTCGGAAGTGTTGGGACGGGGTGCGGCGAGCTTGCGTGCCTTTCCCATCAATTTGGAAAGAATTGGAATCAGAAAAGCCGCGGTTTTGCCCGATCCTAATCAGTCAGTATTGTAGTTCAACAAGCCATGGAGAACAGTACGTACCAGTTTGAGCAACGGAGATTAGATCATGTCCTGCGAGAATCGCAGGGACAGCGTAAGACTGCACCGCAGTTGGGGCAGTGTACTGGCATAGGCTAATATTCTCGAGGATCACCGGGTGCAGGCCGGCATCCTCCCACTATAGACAGTCAAAATATGGAGCTGGTGTCCTGTTTTGTGCCCTTACCTTGGTGACTGGCTGGATAGTGGCATCACTGTCAACCCTGACGGTGTAGGCGTTGAGGCTGGGAAGGAGAAAGAAAACCGTCAGTTCTCGAGCCAAAGTAACGATTCTGCGGGTCAGAGCACTTACTCGTCGAGACGGTCTCCCACGCGTTGGATGAGGTTGCCGCGGAACAGCTGCTGCTCGAGCTCCTCGTTGGGGGGACCAACTTCGCCGAATTCGGGATCCCACTCGTAGCGGTTAGCAATTCCTGCCCAGTCACGAGAGTTCTTGTCAGGATTGCCGTAGTCAAAGGGGACCGGGTTGGTCCAGCCTAGGCGGCCAGCCTCCTCGGGGTCATCAACACCCGAAAGCTTGAGTAGATTAGCAGCAGCCACGGGGGGGACGTCCTCCTGGAGGTCGTTGCCCAGGGCGAGAGAGTTAATCTGATGGTCAATCGAATCCATGGTGGATGCGATAAGGAATCAACCGTAGAAGAGCAAAGCAGAGGCGTTCAGAAGTATCGGAATCGCGACGAGAAAAGGGAAAAAAAAAGGGAATCGATGAGGGAAGGCCTTCTTATAGGCAATAGAAGGCAACACAACAACATCACAGAAGGGAAGGCACGATCCTCGCTTTTGCATCACTTGGAAGGTGCGCCGCCACACGCGAACTGACTGGTTTCCCCAGCTGCCCTTCATACTGCGTAACCTCGCGTAACATCATACCAGAATAATATCAATCTGAGTCCCGCTCGGAAATAAAAACGTTCAAGCATGTAGCCATTCAATTCCTTTCAAAATAGTATATCATATATAACGAGAGCTAGACATAAGATGAATCCCAGATTCCACTATATACATGTGCAGCAAGGGATTGAGGATATTTCTATACAATAGGAAAGGCTGTGATATGTACAAATGGTATGTATACAAAATAACAAAATATTGCTAGCCTTAGAGGAGAGGAAAACTCCAGTTGGTTCTATGGCATAATTGTCCGTTTGTAGTTCTGCACTAGGCCGACAGATAAGACCAATCCATCATAAGAACTTAAACATCTCTTAAGCACGATTAGTGTTATAGCATCTTATGAAGATGAAGACTTAGATCGGCGCTAACGTTATGTGACCTGTCACCATGACAATCACATCTACTAATCAATTTAACGGTCATCATTAGCTCATACACATTCTGCAAGCAATAGAGCAGGCATCAAGCCCTACATTGTTAGTCTTCACAAACGTGCAAATATCCTGGGGGGAGGAAATTTTCGATTTCATCAACGAAATAGAAGATGGGCTTCCACAAGGTAAGTCCCTACGTGTATGTATATATAATCTTATCGAGTCCCTTTAACACTGATCACAACTCTATCACCAAAGCGCTGAGCATAACGATTATACATACGGAGAATCACAATTGCTAAAATTGGTGGTATATGTCTAAGATCAAGATGCGCAGTACGGGGCAATTGACCACTTATGAGCAATTGCAAATTCGCCCAAACGTCGGCACTAGGAAGCTACCCTGGGCTTCTCTCAATCCACTACAGTCATAGCCATGACTTTTTTCACAGCCCCACTTGTATACGTATAATCTATATGATTAACCTGAGGCACTCGAAATGAAGGGAAACAGGTGGAAAAGAGTGGCCAAAGTAGGGCGAAAACAATGCATGAAGCGGTATACTCGCTTCGAGGCTGGGTTTCGTGTAACACTTTATCACACTTATAAGCCCTTTTGTACCTATTGGTTGTGCCTTAGTAAATATTAAAGGGTAGTTTGCGGCAGAAATCAGCGACCTGCGCCAATATCTGCTGTATAGCTAGAGAATGAGCCATGAGTAAGGCGAATGTAGAATGTAGGATGTAGAATGCAGGATGCTAGGGAGTTGAAAGGGAGAAATCAGGCAACGTTTGTGCAATAATGGACCAGAAGCAATCATACTATTCAATGCAGTGCCAAAAAAAAACACTCAATTAAGATCCAAAATGAGGCCAATTCAGAAAAAAGACTGCAAAATAGAAGCAAAAGTAGAAGTAGAAGTAGAAGGGAAGTGAACCTCGGAAGTGGAACCCCCGGGTAGAAGGAGAAATACGCCGTAACCGTGGGCACGGCTACCTCACCATCTCGACCATCCTCGACTTTAACATCCTCAAACATCATGGCTCCCTCCGATATTCCGGAGGTAGACCCCAGTTTGCGTCGCAAGCGCCCAGCCCGCTTGGAGGAGGCAATCACCAACCCGGGCGCCGTCAAGATCAACGTCACGGGCGCCTTCATCGTCGACGACGAGCCCCGTTCCAAGAGCCCTGAGGCCGAGGGCGTGCATTATGAAAACAAGGATATTCGACTTCCTCACCACACTGGCGTCGTGAGCCATGTCGCCGTCGATGTGAGTCGAGAACTGTGCCCCGCATTGCGACCGGTCCCCGCAATTTCAGGGAATATTCCCACGCGACCTCACTGACAATGGGTAGATTGGCGGATCACTGGCCAAGCTGGTCTATTTCACTCGCGAGTTAGACACGGCCGATAATGGTGGACGGCTGAACTTCATCAATTTCGAGACTCACCGCATAGACATCTGCATCGACTTCATTCGGCAGCTGAAAGAGGAACACGAGAAGCGCAATGGGTCCACGCAGGAGGGACTGTGTGTGGTAGCCACCGGTGGGGGAGCATTCAAGTTTTACGACAAGCTGAAGGAGGCGCTGGACGTGAACATCCTCCGCGAAGAGGAGATGGAATGCTTGATCATTGGTGCGTTCCTGTCATGTCCGTCTGATTCCGCGCAATGCTCACAATCATGCAGGTCTCGATTTCTTCATCACCGAAATTCCGAACGAGGTCTTCACTTACAGTGATGCCGATACCGAACCGATGCGATATGCCGAGGCCCGACCCGATGTATACCCCTACCTCCTGGTCAACATAGGGTCTGGAGTGTCAATGATCAAGGTGTCCGGTCCGAAACAACATGAACGTGTGGGAGGAACTCACTTGGGTGGTGGAACTTTCTGGGGTCTCATGTCTTTGTTGACCGGCTCGCGGACCTTTGATGACATGTTGGCAATGGCCGACAGCGGGGATAACAGTGGGGTGGATATGCTCGTAGGAGATATTTATGGCATGGACTACAGCAAGATTGGTCTCAAGAGCACAGCCATTGCCAGCACGTTCGGTAAGGTGTTCCGGTTGAAGAATGCCGCCGAGCGAGGTGCGGAAGACGGTGAGGGATTGATCCACGGAGGTCCCGACGGGGACGAGAGCAACGGTGGAGTGAAATTCAACCCAGAAGACATGAGCCGGAGCCTGCTCTATGCCATCAGGTATGTCACTATCCTCACTTCCCCTAGCTCAAGCTAACTTCGATTAGTAATAATATTGGCCAAATTGCCTATCTGCAGTCGGAGAAGCACCAAGTCAAGCACATCTACTTTGGCGGTTCCTTCATCCGCGGCCACCGTCAAACTATGAACACCCTTTCATACGCCATCCGTTTCTGGTCCAAGGGCGAAAAGCAAGCATACTTCCTGCGCCACGAAGGCTACCTAGGAGCTGTTGGAGCTTTCATCCGCCGGCAACCTCAGAATTGGGGCCGCAGAAATAGTGTCGACGACGTGGTTGCACCGCAGGCGGTCCGTAACCTCGTTACAAACAATAATGTCCTCAATCAGCAACATACCAGGTCTTCGAGTGAATCATAACACTCGACCCTGCTGTGACTACCCTTTCTCCTCCGCATCGAAACTCGATACCCTTTGGGGCAGTTGAAAACTCTCCTGTTATTCTTGTTAAAATCGCCTGCTCGCAGTAGCTGTCTCAATTGAGCTGTAAACTGCGGTATGGCAACTCCTATGGGTTCTCTCATTGGTTTTATCTCCACCTCCTTGTGCATCCTTTCCACTGCATTTCGGGATCCTAACCCTGTCAGAGTCATATGTCTCCATTGTTTAAAAAGAAAATGTTGATATACCCCATTTTCCAACCTATGTGTATAGAGTTGGTTACAATCTAGAGTGTTGAATTTCATCCTTTGGTTGCTCAAACATGCATTACTTTGCTTTCGTCATGATATTAGCAATCTCACAGAGGCCAGGCATGATCAGAACACAGATGCTTATATTCATATTCCAATATGTACCATCGCTTCAACATCCCGACAGTCCCACCACTCCCAAGCCTAAGGAATCAATCCCTTATACTGCAACAAACCCTCCCGGAAAGACAAAGCCTTCCGACCCGTAAGCTCCACAACAGCATTACTAGTCTTGGCCATATACCCCTTGGCAACCATCTCTCCACAACAAAGCAAATCATCAATACAAAGCTTCATAGGAATCCCAGAAAAATCCCCAGAAACATCATCCGTGTCGAATCCAGCATAGTGGGCTGATGTGGTTGAGAATTGGGGCTTACGTCTATCGCGGGGCCCACGGTGGACACGAGTGAAGCATTTCAATCTAATTCTCAGCGTCACCGAACTACTCTGTAGTATAAGTTGAGACTCACTTCGCGTTGAAGGGAGCCACTTTGTTTCAGGACCCAGTGCGCTGAAAATGATCTTCGTGATGCCACTATTGGGTGATTTGGCGGGGATGCGGTGAAGTGTTCAGTTTGGCTCCACGACCCCACGTAGAGTGAGATGATCGAGTTTGTGGTGACGAGGGATTATTCTATGATTGGTTCTCTTTTTTGGGACTGTGCTTCTCTAGGTGAATAGGACTTTGTGGGGACTATTATTGGGACTCGGATTGGATTGGATTGGATGTATATATACTTGGTTAGCCAGGATTTGATAGACTGAGGTACATATCCGTTAAGCTCCGTGGATGCTGATGTAGGATAGTGTCGGATTCCTTAGATTTCTCTACCATCCCTGTGTCTTTGATGATCTACAAACATACATGTATGCAGTGTTGATCGTGTAACATCCAAGTATAGAGGGTTGATAGCATCACGTGAAATCATAGATAACCGCTGAATCAGCCTCCACGTGGGGACTGCGCGTTCCAGCTGTTACCTTCTCAAGATCAAAGCTTTTATCCTCACGCCATGCTTCGATGCTAGTTCTGCTTGTGCTCGATGACGTCTCCTCCCTCGCTTGATCCTTTCCCTCCCCCAATTCCCGTTGAAACCCACCCCAACCGCACCCCGGGATCCAAGTCTCCTGAACCCGAACGGTCCCTCCCCGACCCCAATCGATTGGCACCGGAGGATGCTTACTTTGCTCCGTCCCTCTCGCGCGTCCGGTCAGCACCTGCAAATTATGACGATAATCTGCGCTCCTTGAATGGCGATAATGCGGCCCATCTCAGTTCTGCTGCGGCATTGCGCAAGAAGTTGGGTGGTTCTGGGAGGCGTCGCAAGCGAAAGGGTGCTTGGAAGAAGTTGCTCTGGGTTAAACAGTCATGTATGTCTATGTGGGATTGATGGGATTATATGGGGATATCATGCTGACTGTTCACTTTAGACCCGGATAACTATACCGATACCGAAACATTTCTCGACCATCTGCAGCGCAACCCCAGAGTACGGCCGTACGATTTTTGGCCCCTGGTGGCAGATTCAACCGTGATCGTGCAGCATGTATGCTCAGTGGCCATATTCGTTTGTTGCTTCGTTGGTATCGTCCAAGACAGAGTGAGCCCTGTCTCGATTGTCTGCTGGGGAAGCGTGGGCACGGCCGTGGGTTGGACTCTATGGGACAATTGGATCTGGAACGAACATGCGCAATCTGTACAAAGTGCAGATCGTACCGCTGAAGGCGATGACGGCTCCAGTTCGAGTTCAATGGCTAGCGCCGCCAACCCACCTGCGAATGACACGCAACCCGACGAAACGAAAACAAACGCCATTCATGGACTTGGGCTGACGATGTCTGGAAATCAATCCAAGGAGCAATTGACTAACCCCAGCGCAGATATCAATGAAAACATTGATGGGGTGACATATACGATAGCTCAAAACGCCGTAGCATGTGCTCCTCCCAGTGCTATCATTAATAGCACAGATGGATCTTTATCCCAGGATATCCCCCGAGTGTCAATGTTGTCTCCGCGCAATCGACAGCGAATGACCACAGTCAAATCGGCCTTTCTCATCTACTTCGCCCTTCTGGGATTAAGTCCCATCTTGAAATCCCTTACCAAATCCACCGCCAGTGACTCCATCTGGGCCATGAGCTGTTGGCTTATAATCATGAATATATTTTCTTTCGACTATGGCAGTGGGGAAGGCGCAGGCGCCACCACCAAGTTCCCTGCATCATTGTCTACAAACGCGGCCGTGATGGCATCCACCGTACTTGCCTCTCGGTTGCCTTCCACGACACACGTGTTCAGTCTCATGCTTTTCTCAATGGAGGTATTTGGGCTGTTTCCCATCTTCCGGCGCCAGTTGCGACAAAAATCATGGACTGGTCATGTCGTCCTGACACTAACCCTCGTGATTGTGGCTGGTGGCGCTGTTGGTGTTACACTGAGCGGTGGATGGGCAGCTGCCATTATTGGGTCCGTCCTGGGAAGTATCCTGACCGCACTTGTGATGGGCGGGTGCAGCTGGTGGCTTATCAGCTTGCAGAAGTACAAGAACGTTGTGATCGGTCCCTGGGACCCTGCGCGTCCTATCATTCGGCGGCATTGGAACTGATCCCCACGTTTGGTCATTGAAAATTTAGCGCAATTGTAACATACACCTGGAGTTTGTCGTGCGGTCCTTATTGCCTATACCCCTAGATCAATCTATCTTAATCTCGAAGCTTCCTGCGGATCCGAATAGCCTTCATTGGTCGTCATCTTTATATACCTGTGCTATGTTCGTGTCCCATGCCATTGTCCCAGATATTCGGGATTTAAACGTGACCAAGTACCCCAGAAAGCCTTCCGAGCCTTGCCCTGGTGATTGGGTCTATACAATGACGCAAGAAGGAATGTGACGGGGAATGAATGCGCGAATCTGGCATGTCGGCGCCTCTGGAGTCTTAACGCTTGCCGCACCCTCTAACCTACGCAGTCCAGATCTCTTACTTGGCGATGTTAGCCGACCCTACTGAAACATACGATGTTTGAGGACGCCTTCATCTTTCCCTCTTCATGCTAATGAGGCTTTATTCGCGTCACATTCCACAGCCCCTCTCTTAGCGCCTGATCACCTCCCTCACCTCAACGCTTTCTTAAGCAGAATAGCCCTGCGGCATTCTCCGGCCAAAGGGATGTGGTGGATGTCATGCAGGAAACAGGAAATCTGGAGCGATGGGCAACCCGAAAAACCTTCTATGGGGATCGTCAATCTCCGTAGCCGCCGATCATTCGCGAGAGCATGTTTTGATGTCCACGCATTCTGGAGGACTATATACTCGACCATTTTTCCTGCGTTTCTTTTCTTTTTCTTTCTCTTTCTTGTGATCCTCGGTGCTTTGTTTGCGGCTTGTGGCTGACTTCTGACCCTCGACATATTGGGTGTTTCTTCTCTTGTTTATTATTATTTCATAATTCCCTAATCTAACTTTCGACCAGTCGTCCATCGCTTGTCTTGTTCTCATCATGTTGAAGCACCTCGCACTCGGCCTATTGGCCACCCAATCTGTGGTCGCCACGCGCTTTGCCATGTACATTGACCAGTGAGTACAAGAATCTCTGAAACTGCACAAAGATGTATATCTAACGCCTATGCAAGATACCATGTGACCGATCTGCCAGGCTCGGATCAGACCAAGGGCATTGACTATGCCATCATGGCATTCGCTCCCTCGAAGATTTTCAACTCTGACTCGCCGCCATCTTTCGAGCCGTTCGAGTCTCCTGAAAGCTTCCGCAAGCGCTTCAGCCCTGACACCAAGCTCGGTATTGCCATTGGAGGATGGGGTGATACCGCTGGTTTCTCGGACAGTGTCAAGGACGACGCCTCAATCGAACGATATGCGAAGAATGTCGCTGCAATGCTCGACTCCAAAGGATTCGACGGTGTTGGTGAGCTACATCACAAATATTATTCACCACGCAAGCAGAAGACTAACACATTAATCCAGACATCGACTGGGAATATCCCGGTGGCAACGGCCAGGACTACAAAGACGTCCCCAACTCAAAGAAGGTCGGCGAGATCGAAGCCTACCCCAAGTTCCTCGCTGCCATCCGCAAGGCCATTGGCGACGACAAGATCCTCTCCATCGCCACCCCCGGCCGTAAGCAGGATTTCATTGCCTTCACCAAGGAGCAGGGGCCTAAGATCTTCGAGCCGGTTGACTATATCAATGTCATGACCTACGACCTCATTAACCGTCGTGACAACGTCACTGGCCATCACAGCTCGGTCCAGGGATCTCTGGATACCATTAACAACTACCTTGAGATCGGCGCTCCTCCCGAGAAGATGAACCTTGGGTTTGCGTACTACGCCAAGTGGTTCACCACCGACCCCGAGTCCGACTGTGAAGAGAACCCCCTCGGCTGCAAGATGGTCAAGCTCGAGAACAACGATGGAACCGACAACGGTAAGTCTGGTGCTTTTACCTTCGAGGCTACCAATGTCGCCGATCCCCCCAAGGATCTCAAGACTTCCACCAACGGCAAGTGTGGATATGGAGAGAAGTCCAAGTGCCCTGAAGGATCGTGCTGCAGCGCCTACGGTAACTGGTATGTATTTAGCGTCACACGTTTATCTATTGTTGCCAATTAGAGACTAACATTTTACTTAGCGGTACCGGCGATGACTTCTGCCAGACCGGCTGTCTCTCCGATTACGGTACCTGCAAGGGCATCTCGATCACCAACTCATGGCGCCAGGCCGAGAAGAACGGTCAGACCGACGAGGAGGCCGGTGGTCAGTACTACTTTGACAAGGAGAACCACCTCTTCTGGACCTGGGATACCCCGGACCTCATTGCCCGCAAGTTCAAGGACATCGTCGCTGAGAAGAAGCTTGGTGGTGTTATGGCCTGGAGCTTGGGTGAGGATACCTATGGGTTCAAGCACCTTAAGGCCATGCAGGACGGTGTTAAGTCTCAGTCTTGAGTCTATAGAAGTTGACGCAACTAAGCACTCGTAATGGGCTTAATCAAGCTTGACTTGTTTGATTAGGAGGACGATGTCCATGTTGAGTGTGAGAGCGATGAAATGACGGAGCACAGGTTGCTCTTGGCATATAGTAATAATTGCACGATTCTATTGCTATCTTAAGATCTATTGATATCCTACGATTGTTCCTGAATTCCCTGAATTCCCTACCAGCGCTAGTTTTCTTCTCTGATGTCGCTGTCACTATCCTTATTTTGCCTGTACAGTACTTAGCCGGGCACCATCGCTTAATCTGTACCGCTGTTCGTGTATCATTGTCTTGCACGCCGACACAATACCTGCCTCCACGCAAAATATTCAGAGCAAACTCATCAGCTATAAAACACTGGACTGTACAGAAAAAGAGTCACTGGGACGATCCAGGCCACAAACGCCCTGTCGTCGAGATAGTCTCAGTGGGGCTGCAATGGGAGTCGGGAACCATTTAATGATTCAAATGATGATTTATTTACATGCAATCTACTAAATAAATGAGCCTATTGACCAGTCCACCGCTTCATCCAAGCCTCAACATATCGCTGTATCAATCCCGCGGTAACTGGATCTTTAACCAGCGCCAGAGAAGGACTATCCTGGATCGTGCGCCCAGACTCGAAAGTCAACCCAGCACCTCCCTTCTCGTCCGCCTGATTCTGGCTCTGGCTAGAAGCCGCATACTTGGATTGCCAGAAATCAATGAGCTTGATACTCGGGTTCTTCTCCGGATCCTGCTCGCTACTTGCCAATCTTTGAAGCCATTCCTGCGGTGACACAATTTCAAAGTCCGGCAAGGCGCAACCCTTCTTCAACGCAGGTAGCAAGTCATCCGTCCAGCTGAATGTCTGTGGGTTGACCAGATGATACACCAGGTCAACATCCGTTGATGCAGAATCAACATTCATCGCAATGTCGGTAATTGCCTGCCCGCATTGGTCAACGGGCAGCCAGCTCGGCCGCTCATCCAATTTTGGCAATGCGCCTGTTGTCAATGCACTACGGAACATGAGTGCTATAGCCTCCGTCTCGTTCCATTGTGCGCTGGCAGTATCACCGCCAAGCTGGCCGATTCTCAGTACCCGGGACTGCATAACAGTGTGGCGCATGGCATTCCGGGTGATATGTTCCGTGACCAGCTTCGATCTCCCGTAACCAATACGCTGCGCATGCTCCAGGTTCTCAATCATGGCCTCCGGGATAAATGCCGGCTTGGGGGTGTTGCTTCCGGCACTGACACTCGAGCAGAAGAAGAACCGTGCTGGCGTGGGCAGGTGAGAGCGTAGACAGAGGTTGATCAGATTCCATGTTCCGCGAATATGCTGCTGTTCGAAGGAGCGCACGCCGAGGTTGAAATTCACTGCCCAGGCACTGTGGATCACGCATGTCAAGGATGACAGTAGGTGTTGAAGAACGTAGTCGTCTAGACCGATATTAGGCTGGGATAAGTCACTGGGCACTGCGTGGAGCTTGGCCGCCTCGGCATCTGTGAGCACGATATTGCGATCCGCGAGGGACTTGTACAGACGGGCTCCTGCTGCTGCTTGTCCTGGCGCGCGCACAATTGCCCATACTTCGAAGACAGTTGATCTTTTCAGTAATTCTGCGACAATGAAGGCTCCCAGGTTGCCGGTTGCGCCGGTGACCATCACCACCTCTGTCTCCGGCTGTCGAGTAGTAGTCGGGAAATGTTGAGTGAAGTGTGAGTATTTCTCGATCAGCTCGCGCATAACATGCAGCTCGTCTTCTTTCTCAAATTCTTGCCCAGTACGCATCTGATAAAGATGTTTTGCAAGGGCCCTGACAGTTCCTTTCTCAAAAACAATGTTTTGGGACAGCTCTCCAACCTCGCCAATATCGAGGTCGCGCATGATATATCTCCAAATCTGCGTTGTCTGCAAGCTATCAACGCCAGCCGAGAAAATGTCAGCCTCGGAGCTAGATAGCGGGATACCCAAGTCTTCACGGAATTTTGACAGCAGCCACTTCTCCAAATCTGGTACGTCGAGGGCAAGTGTGCCTCTCCTTTGGCCACTCCCTTCAAATTTGGCATACACCTGGGTGATATCCTCCTCAAACTGCTGATAGACTTGAGCCCGGATGCAAGTTCCTTTGTCGGTCTTGGCGTACGGCACATCAGCGCCCTTGATCAGAATCAACTCTTTGGGAATTCGAGAGAATGTCTCGGCGCGAGCATTTGCCGCCTCAACAGCTGGCCAGATGGTCTCCAAGAATTCGTCATCGCTCAAGTGTGTTGCCTTGCCAGCGGCGCGGAAGATCAAGGCACCAGGTACAGTTCGCTGGAAGCCAAACACAACACATTCGCTCACGATCGGTTCTTCTCTAACGCGGCCTTCGATGGGAATAGGGAGAACCTTCTCACCATTGACTAACGTGATTCGATCGTCCAGTCGACTGAGGTATTTGTAACGGTTGCTCTTCTCTGGGTCCGGGTGCCTTGTGAATAAATCGGCTGTTCTAAAGCTGTTCTGGGGGTTCTTCGCATTATAAGGGGGCTTCGAGTTCGAAGGTCCCTTGCTCGGCAGCCCATCTAACGCAACACACTCAAAAACCCCAGGCGAAATCTCGTCCATTAAAGTGTAATCAGCAACTGGACGGTGCAGCCGCATATACTGCCATTCAGTGTCTCCCGGAGAGCGGAAAGAAGTCATGATCTGTCCGGTTTCTGTCGCTCCATAGTTGGCAACCAAGTTCACGCCCTGAGCAACGAGTCGGTCGCCGAGGTCGTCTGGACAGCTAGATCCGCCATACAACACTAGCTGTGGGCGAGCCAGTGCTTGGATGCCTTCTTGCTTCTCTGCTAGCAGCTTGATGACATATGGCACAGCACTGATCTGCTGTGGCTTGGCTACCTGCAATGCATCGAATAGGTTTTGATATGTAACTGGAAGAGAGTGATTGCCAAGATATGCCGTTGCGCGAGTGTAGAAGGCCCGTCCAAACTCCATCAGGGCATGCGAGTGGAACAGCGGGCTGATATTGAATAGACGGAGCCCGAAGCTCTTGCGGAAATTGGCCAGGGTTTGAAGGTTGGTCAGGAAGATGGGCTTGGGGAAGCCTGTGCTTCCAGATGAATGCAAGATCCAGGCAATCTTCTTACCCTCTCGTGACAGATCCACGCCCGCTCGCTTGAAGCGAGGTGAGCTGGCAGGACGATTGAACCAGTCCTCACGCTGTAGCAAAGAGAAGCTGCTGCAAGCGGGACGCTCCACGCAAATTTCATTAGTGACCTGCTGATACTGCTTATTGATGATTATTTGGCTGCAGTCTGCCATATCCAGTAGCCGCGCATAAGCTGGGGCTGTGAGTCTCGTGGATAAGAATAGCACAGCGTAGCCAAGGCGGTTAAGTGCGAACAGTGTCACTATAACCTCGAAACTGGATCCGGCTAGCATCGCCACGACTGGTGCCTTTTCTAGACTCGGGTCCTGGAAATCATTAGCTCAAATTGTCAAAAGGCTGGCGAATTTCTTACCGCAGGTGGAAGCCCCTTCTCCATGTAATAGCGAACAGCGACATCAGTATAGCGATCAATGTCCCCTGCTGTGTGTTCTTCAAAGTCGGCAGCTCCCCGGATTGGATAGCATATCAGCGGTCGCTTCGCATCATCCGGTTGAGCTGCGTGGGATTTCAATAGGCCGTCGATGGTGTGGAATTCCTCGATGTTAGGCCACTGAGCGTGAAGTGTGCCGTTCAACAGGCGAGATGCAATGTCTTTGGCTTCGGGCTGAGCGCCCTCTGTTACAGTAACTGTCGACATAGTTGTGTGGTTGCGTTCATCATTCCCTGCGTCTTTATATGTGGTCAATAGCCGCTGGTTGGGGTCATCCCACGTACCGGCGCTTTTCCGGTTTTCCGACTTGCACTCGGAAAAGCATTTCTTCTGGGTTTGGATTCTCCGTTCCATTTCCTGTTGAAATCCAGGTGTTCAAATAATTTTTAATGTATATTATCACATTTCCAGAAGTATGCGCTGTATAAGTTAGTTTTGCTCATTACCCCGGAATATCGGAGGTAAAGACTAGATCAGATGATATCAGTATACGCCACTCTGCGGTGCGGATATTGAAAAAATGAATGGATAAGCGGAACTGAATCAACGAGCATATTTTATGCAGGTGGGGCTCAGAGTTGATAAATAAGGCCACTTCCTTTTTTCTATGAAAGCAGTGGTGTTTGTTCATGTCTAATATCAGTATCGCGACAAGCCCTGTCTCATATTTTAGATGATTTCAGGTCTATACCAAAACCAGCAATATTCTATTACTGCAATGCCTACACTCAGGCCATTAAGTTTGAAGGCAATACACCACCTCTGAAAGGATTTTTATTAGAAGCCAAGCTACTCAAATATTGCAAAGCAGCGCCACTGCTCTACTACATTCTCGTGACACCGCCTTTCAAAATTATATTCTAAGATAACTTAAGGATTGTTCTCAAATACCCCTTGTCTCACTCTCCAAATTCCTTTGAGAAACACTCCCCACGTGTGGACATGGTGATCACCTATAGCCAACTCTTATTTTACACAAGCACTCAAACAAGCAAAGTGTGGGGGCTGCAGCAGCCTAGGCCTAACAATGTAACTCTGTCGTGTCATGACCAGCTTTAGCTCCTGAAATAGCCTGGGATTACCAACTGATCTCCAATTTCGCACGAATAGGCTCATTCAACATTGCGCTGCTTTCGCTTTCCCCGCGTTTCCCCCACGCCTGTGATTTCCTGGAGAAGCGCGATAGCTAGCAGATATGTGGTGAATAACGCAGTTCCGGGGGTGTATGCCTCGCTCTATAAATCCTGTAAATGACCCTTCGATTCAAATCCGTTTAAGATATCGTCCCAGAGTCTTTTAGTACTTGTCTCTTCTCAGTATGGCACCTTAACGCTCAGAATGGAACTCTATACTCCTGGGTTGCCAATGCCTTACCGCGTCCTCCTGCCAAACGTGCCCCTCCTTATGGCATTATCAATGCCATCGGAAACTCAGCTAGTATATGGACCCCTTTTACCTACTATGATGCGCAGAAGCCTTACTATCGACTAGCGCTTAGTATTTGTATTGCTTTGCAGTTGCTGGGTGGCATTGCTAGTATCTTCTTGTATTCTACCCTGCGCATGCTTAACAAGCGCCAGATGCAGGTCGAGAATGAGGACGTGCCGCTGGATGAGAAAGACTTGCGGAAGTTGCAGGTTACTGCTGACAATGAAGGGGTTGATATCGCGGCTGCTCGTCGGTTGCAGAAGGGATTCCGATATATGCTGTAGCTTGCAATATAACTTGAATGGCGTTGTTGAAGGCTCACAAGAAACAATTTTTTCGGCGAAATGGATCAATCGTCATTGAGATTTCCTGTTACAACTTATTTGTAGTAAATAAGGTACCTAGCATCCATAGATATTCAAGATTAACAAGACTGTAGATGTAGGTTAAATGCATGAGGGTGGGGTGCAAGCAACTTCTGCAAAGAAGAAATAAAAAAATAGCAAATGGCTAGTTTTGTTCCTATAAAATTAAGAAAAATGTTCTTCGGAGAAAAAAAGATAAAGAAACAAAAATAAACGAGGTGCGAGGGAGACTCGAACTCCCGACCTTCCGATTTGCAATCGGACGTTCTAAACCACTGAACTACCGCGCCTGGTTGATGTATGTGGGCCGTTTTTTGGAACTTATGTACCTACACTAACATTGTGCTCAGTAACTCACCCGCCCGGATACTATGCGGCGTCGTTCACACTCATGAGTTTAAAACACCAGATTTCGAGTATTGTCGTAATGCAAGTCATTTTAAATATATCATTCGTGGCTTCGTTCTGATTAATCTCGATTGGCAGCATTCCCTTCCAGCTCGCTGATTGATTCTGTCTTATAAATTTTTTATTTTATTTGCGTTTGGTCACTTTATCAAATATATATGAGCATCAACAAGGCGGTTTCAGGGAAGAAATCAACAAAGAAGATTCTTAAATCTTAACCAAAATACAGCGAAGTAATGGAAAGGGAAGAAATACAATTAGTGCTAAGAAATATTGATTAATGCAAGTTATTCATAGCTATATAGGGTAGGGGAGCAAATAGGCGTGGAGGCTGTCCGACCACTTGACAGGTAGCCCCAATTCTATTGGAAGAAATGTCGTGGTCCACTAAAATCTACATACAGTATCCCCAATAAATATCCCTACGCACTCCCCTTCAGCACAATTTCCTTCATAGACCCTGTGAATCCCTCTCCAATCCGAGCCAAGGGCGCTTCGATAGCAATAGGAGCCCACACGAAGTATTCACCGTTAACCCCAATCTTCGTCAGGATTTCCATAGTCCGAGATTCACTCCCAGATCCAGAGACCGTCAACAAGGTGGTATTGCCTCGTCCAATTAAACTGACGTCCGTCCAAGCGTTTAAAGGAAGGGAATAGTTGAGCGAATACGGATTCCCGCCACTGATCAGAGTTGCACTGGAGATGGTACCATTGCCATTAACAAAGCTTGAGTCTGGCCCATAGAATAATGTTCCTGGTGTGTGGGAGGTCGGTTTGACCTTGAAGGAGAGTGTATAGTCACGTCCCTTGCTTCCCAGTGGTGTCTCAAGGTAGCATCCGCTTGCAAGATGGAGGGTCGAGTCGGAGATCTTACAGCCGTGCAGTTTCCCATCGTACCCGTTGCCCGAATGGTCGGTTACGGTGTTCGAGTTTCCGTCAAAAGTATAGTGCAGTATCGTATCGGACTTGCTAGGGATTCGCCGGTCCAGGTTCTGGGCTGGTACTGCGGCCTGCAGCTGATCGAAGACAGATGCATAATCTGCCTCGGTGATATTACCTCCCCATTGCTTATCAGCAAGGGCAGGGAGGGCGTTACGCCAGGAATAGTAGGTTTGCAGGACAGTTGTGGAGTTTGGACCGTAGTCGTTCCACAGAGCAGCAGCGTGACCCAGCACCCGCGGGCTATTTCTGGGAGGGTTATCACCCTTGTTGGAGCTGTCGAATATGCTTGGCGAGAACGGTGCACCGTATGGGCCTTGGAAGATCTTGCTCAGCTCGAGCTTTTGGGCGAACGAGCCAGACCACCCGCCAACGAGATACATGTAGTCATCAGAGTTGAGAACGTTATATCCATTCTGAATATAGTCATAGTATGGCTTGTCGGCACTCACATCCCAGTGTTGATAAGTCACCGATTTGGATATATTGGCACCCTCTTTTGGCGTGAAAGTACCCCAGATGCGCATCTGCTGACGGCCCGATGACTGCTCTTGGATAAAGGTGTTCATTTCATTCACAAAGTGCGTATAGTCCGTGACAAGTCTACTATCGTATTCATCGGCACCGATGTGTACAGTCTTGCTGTGAAACCAAGGCAAGAAAGTGCGCCAAATAGTCTTCATCGTCGGGAGAGTATCCGGGTGGCTAATGTTGAGCATACTCAAGTCATCGAGTCCCAGCTCTGGCTTCCATTGAACAATGACGAGCGCATGGCCAGGTGCTTCAATCTCGGGAATAATGGTAACTCCCCGCTTCGCGCACTGTGTCTGGACGTGGTCGAATTGTTCGCGGGTGTAGGATTCATTGGCGCGGCGATTCAGACCTGCTACAGCCTCGTCGTCCGACCAAAGCCGGAATGCTGCATAAAGTTCCATTGACCGTTCTGCGGAATATCGGTCGACATTGTTGTAGAGGTTGTCACTGACATGAACGTGGAATGTGTTCTGCTTGAAGAATGAGAGGTACGAGCACATCTCAATTAGGAACTCTGGTGGATGGTACTTTCGTCCCGCATCGAGCTGGATGGAAGCATCAGCGGTGGAATTCGAAAAAAACCTCGATTTATATAGCTCACCATTGCCCCACGAGTACCCCATCCAGGAGCATCCACACCAGATCCTTTTGCCAGACTCAAATCTCCAATGACAGCAGCTTGGATCACCGATCGTGTCCCCCACCATGCACCGAGAGGACTGGATCCGGTGATGACCACGCCTCGATCATCGACCGTTAAGGCATAAGCCTCAGAGGTAAATCGGCCTGCAGCATCCTGGAATCCAGTTTGATTTGCCAAGGTCACGAATATGGTATTCACCTTGCGCTTCGCCCCTTGCGAAAGCTTTATATCCAATCCCAAGGCCGACTTGAGGTCTCCCTGGAAAGTCTCCGCAAATTGCAGAAGGGTCGGTGGGATCAAAGTCTGCCCATCATTGTCCACTGCGTCCGAATATTGCGAATCTACTATAATACCAGAAAGCTTGGAGAGCTCATAATCGCCCCCTGCTTCGGTGAAGGGTGTAGTGGGAACAGTTAGGAGATGGGCATAGCCTAGATTGAAATGGTCAACCAAGATAAAATTGAAGAGAGTACTATCACATACCTCCTAGCCAGCTGAGTGCACTAGCTGTATAGAAAATTAGACAATTGAGCTTCATTGTTCTTCGCAATACTCCAAGGAAGGGCGCTCAATTTCTTCGCATCAGGCCATAACAAACACTTCGGGATATTTATGTGGGGAGCAATTGAAGTGCGGAGAATCGCCATGTAACCTGCTAATCTCCCAGAGTCGCATCACTGCGAGGAGACGTTGCGTTACAACCCGCAGAGAGGGGGAGACGCATAGTTAGTCGATAGCTGTGACGATCGCAGGGGTCGTCCAACCAGCGGCCGGTTAAGTATCCGGAGAAGTTACAAGCGAACATTTAGCGTGGAAGACTGAGAGCTGGGAAATGAAACATCTGATGTCATTGACATCCAAGTCTACTAGGACTTATAACGATATGATTGAAAAGTAAACAAAAGCGCATATAGTATGTCGGGTTAGAGCCCACAGTGGCGTTATGCCAAAGCTTCACCCGTTGGATAATCTCAACAGATTAATGGAAATTAGTCTATAGATGATGGCTGTACATGTCTATAAGTAGAAAAGAATACACAAAAATTTAACACGGCACTACCGACCATTCTGATCGGGAAGGCCATCACTTCTCTCCACGGCCCAGTTCTCGCTCCCAACACCAGTTGGCACGTAGAACAAGAATGTAGGATCGTACCGCTGCTTAAGCTCATACAAGCGATTGTAGTGTAGTTTGTACAATAGGATGCCTGCTGGAAGCTAGGCTCCTGGATATCTGTCTCGGACATGTATGCACCTGCGTCTGGACCGGTAGAGCGCCACTTGCCCAGAATGTCATTGGTAAAATGATCCATCTTGGATTCAATGGCTGCATTTGAAATAGTGTTTCTTCAGCTGGTAGAAGTGATGGCATGCATCAAGGTCTCCCGGAAAGCTGGGTTGGCTGAGTATGGGGGATTGCCGTCATGCAGCTCGGCCTTCATGTTTGCAAGCAAGGGCAAGCCTGCACTAACGGTGGCACGCAAGGCATCAAAAGTCGAGTTCAGGGCCGCGGAGCTTTCCCAGTCTGCACGGGGGAGGAGAGAGAACCCATCTTCATTTCTGAAGAGGCGACGGTCTCGAGAGGGAATCCCGCCATCCAGCCATCGTGGAAGCTGTCGTAGTAGGTTGAACTGGGTTGGAATGAAATGCCCAGTTCTTGTAGCTCATCGTACCATGGCTTGACGAGAGCGTTGAATTGATCCGGGGTATGGTTGACGGCGAATAAGGGGTTCCTCATCCAGTCGCCATCACCCAGAAGTAAGTGTAGATGCCTGTGTCGGCATGAGCAGGAAACCGGTCAAGGTATGATCGGACACCAGCCCAGAATGTCTCTACGGAGGTGTCCTTTCCGGTGGAGAAACCGAATGTCGACACGGTCACGCCAATCTTTTGGTAAACACGAGAGATGAGCGAGGTAGTGACACCAAAGGTTCATAAAAGAAACTTGTATCAGATTGGCGTATCCAGAAAAACAGAGAGTGAACTTATCACCGCCACCACCACCGGCTCGTAGCCCTTTGATACGCGGAAGTAGAAGCGTGGTGCCGACAGTCTTAGGTTCATCAGTACCGATGACGATGGCGTGTCTGGGATTGTGAAGACCACTGATATTTCGGTCGGATATGTCATGGAGCCTGGGCAGGCGGAAGGCCGGTCTCGTGAATCGTGGCCTGCTAGTGCTGATAGTTGGGTTTGAAGAGTTTCTCTGTGTATGATATATGACATAAATTTTAGATTTGGGGTAATATGGTTATCTATGCAAATAGCCTACTCGGCGATAGAAGTACGTTTGATGCGCGGAGGACCCCCGATGTGGGGGTTGCCGTGTTCCCCCTCATTTTCTTATAAACCTCACTTTTCAACATATTCGCCTTTGACCTTAGTTGTCTACATTGATTTTGCCTACATTGATTTTGATACTTTTGACTGAATACATATTACGCTATGGCGACAACGTACGAGCTCCCATTCAAGGTATGCTTCTTGCCCGCATCCTTTTGCGGGGTGTTCGGCGAGATGTCCGAAGTCCATTTCGAGCATCATCGCCCAACTCCAAGCTTGATATGAAGCTAACATAGTGTCTTTTAGCTAGCAGACTCTACTCTGTTGCATTTCGACTCCTTCGTCGGTAACAAATGGGTCGAGGCAAAGAGCGGGAAGCGCTTCGAAGTCCTTGGTAGGTAGAACTAACACGTATCAAGTTCGGTCCTACAAGACCACAATTAACGTATTTCATCCCTTTATAGATCCCGGTACCGACAAGCCGTGGGCAAGCTGCCCCAATAACGGAGCAGAAGATGTCACCGCAGCCGTAGAAACCGCACACACAGCATTCGAGCAATTCCGCAAAGTCAACCCGCGCCAGCGAGCCAAGTGGTTGTTGAAATGGCACGACCTGACACTAGCTGCACGAGACGATCTCGCTCAAATCGTCACACACGAAACTGGAAAGCCATTAGCCGAAGCATATGGAGAGCTGGACTACTCACTCGGCTTCTTGTGGTGGTTTGCAGGCGAGGCAGAGCGTATCCAAGGCAGTATCTCCACAGCAGCAGCGCCGAACCGACGGCTATTTACTATCAAACAGCCCATCGGAGTAGCTGCTGCGTTGGTCCCATGGAACTTCCCCGTTGCCATGGTTCTACGGAAGGTCGGCGCTGCAATGGCTGCGGGTTGCACAATGGTTGTGAAGCCCAGTCCCGAGACGCCGATCTCTGCCCTCGTGTTGGCGGAGCTGGCGCAGCGCGCGGGAATTCCGGCTGGTGTGTTCAATGTCCTGACTACGGACTTGGAGAACACGCCACCCTTGAGTGAGGCGCTGTGCAAGCATCCGCTTGTTAAGAAGGTGACTTTCACTGGATCTACGCGCGTGGGCAAGCTTGTGGCTTCTCACTGCGCTCATGGTCTTAAGAAGTTGACCCTTGAGCTTGGTGGTAACTGTCCCTTTATCGTCTTTGATGATGCCAACCTCGACCAGGCACTTGAGCAGTTGATGACGCTGAAGTGGCGCCATGCTGGTCAGGCTTGTATTACTGCCAACCGGATCTATGTCCAGGCGGGTGTTTATGATAAATTTGCCGCTCTTCTGAAGGAGCGCACTGCTGCTCTGGTTGTTGGACACGGTGCTGCGACAGGCACCACTATGGGCCCTCTAACCACGCCCCGTAGCATCGACAAGGCCACTGCCCAGATTGAAGATGCACGCCGTCTCGGCGCAGATGTCCTCTTGGGTGGAAAACCTGTGGCTAAGCCGGGGTACTTCTTTGAACCAACTATTCTCTCTGGAATGACGGAAGAGATGCTCATCTCGCAGGAGGAATCGTTTGCGCCCATTGCTGCGCTGTATCGATTCGAGACAGAGGACCAGGCGGTCAAACTGGCCAATGATACTAGTATGGGTCTGGCTAGTTATGCTTTCACGAAGAACATCGACCGCATGTGGCGTCTCTTGGAGAACCTGGAGGCAGGCATGATCGGAATGAATACAGGTTGGTGTCTCCGACGAAAAAGGAAACGACACTATGAGCTAACAAATTTATACAGGTAACCAATCGGCAGCTGAGTCACCTTTCGGTGGCATCAAGGAGTCTGGATACGGCAAGGAGAGTGGAAAGGACGTTGCAGTCAATGAATACTTAGTGACCAAGACGGGAACATTGACGATTGAGGGACAATACTGAATCATTGTGCACCGATAGTTCCAATTACTAAGAGTATTCCAAATTGGTATCACTCTGAAGCTTGTGATTTGAGTTTTTTAACAACAATATTTACCTCCTCCTTCCGCTCTAGGGTAGCCCATTCACTAGCCTCTCCACTAAAGTCCACTCTCAATTCCGCAAGAATATATCGAACGGAAAACAGCCAACATAGAAGTTCCAAAGACACTACGTTTTCATTTTGCCTAGTAGAAGAGAGAAGAGGAAACAAAACGTTGCAGTATGAGTTCGTAGAGATAACCGCATTGGGAATGGTCGACGCACGGACCTTTATAATAAGCAAGTTCTACTTGTCGCTTCACAACACTTCACAACTTCACAGCCATACTAGTTCATAGCCTACATAGTATATCCTTGTGCACTTGATAAGCTGTACAAGTTATCCGCATTCTTTGCTCTCCGATAAGCAAGGCTCGAGATAACGAAAAACGCTCAAGATCAATCGAGTAACATCATTTTTTCGCCGCTCGTCACGTCTTCCACTTATTGAATTTCCAATGATGGACCGACTTGATCCTCTTCGTCATCTCATTCAGCATCATCCGATCATCGACAACCATGCACACAACCTGCTGAACCGGGAGTCCGCCACCGACTATGACAGCTACCCACTGGAAGCCATTACATCCGAAGCCCACGGTCAAGCTTTGGAAAACGCCCGCACTACTTTGCCCTTGCTAAGAGCCACGAACCAGCTTTCCGAGTTGTATGGCTGCCCCTGCGAAAACTGGGATGATGTCCAGTCAGCCCGTGACCGATGGGTCCGAGAGGACTACGACGGATTGATCCGCCGATCTTTGGAAGGAACCCACGCACTTCTATTAGATGACCTTCTCGGCGACGATGAAGATGTCGAAAAGTTTGACTGGCATGATAGCTTCACTGTCTCAACTACGAAGCGCATTGTCCGCATTGAAGCCGTAGCGGCGGATTTGATCCTTCAGCTGGCAAGTAGCGAGCGCAAGGCTGGAGAAACGGTTTGGAACAATTTCCGCCAGCGATTCCAGAATGCCCTTTCGGAGGCAATGGAAGACCCCAATGTTGTTGGCTTCAAATCGGTTGTGTGTTACCGTACGGGGTTGGACGTGGATCCTTATTCCTCCGATGATACTACGTTGGCAGGCTCACTTGTGCGCACTCTTGATTCTGGGACTACAAGGTCTGGTTTCCGAGTAGAGGATAAGCCATTGAATGACTGGCTGGTCCAGCAGACATTGAAGGCCATTTCGTTCAAGAAAATGGCCGGTGTTGTGAAACCCTTGCAGTTTCACACGGGTCTGGGTGATGATGATATCAACCTGGTGCGAGCTAACCCGGCATATTTGCAGCCGCTGATTGCCCAGTATTCGAAGGCAGATATCGTTCTGTTGCACTCGGCATATCCTTACACTCGGGAAGCAGGTTATCTGGCCTGTGTGTACCCCAATGTCTACCTAGACCTTGGCGAGGTATTTCCCATGGTCAGCCGAGACGCTCAGGAAAATATCTTGCGACAGAGTTTAGAGCTCACCCCTGCCAACCGTTTGCTCTGGAGTACGGATGGACACTTTCATCCGGAGACGTTCTGGCTGGCCAATCGTCAGTTCCGCCAGGCTCTCGAGACAGTAAGTTGCGATTTACTCTGTTTTCTCTGTTCAATACTTATTTCCATTGCCTTTTAGGTATTGGTTGACTATGTCCAAAAGGGCGACTATAATACTCCGCAGGCTATCAAAGTTGCTGCCGACATTCTTTTCCATAACTCTAATCGCCTTTACGGACTGAAAATGACCCCGGGTTACACACCTGCCGTTCCTTCGGGCACGCTGTCAACGAGCAAAAGCCAACTAACAACGAAATCCGATGCACTGGATGCATTTATTCGCGCACATCCGGAGGTCGAGTACGTCTGGATGCAATGGGTTGATTACACCGCCACAGTCAGAGTACGCATGTTCCCAATTGACGAGTTCACCCAGATCGCCAGACAGCAACGGCGGATTGGGATCTCGCTCGCAGCAGTCTCTATACTGCAAGATGATACAGTGACCCTGGATGGATCCACCACGGGTCAATTCTACCTCGAACCCGATCTCAGCAGCCTCTTCCTCAATGGAAGCATGGCAAAGCCTGCTGCACCAAGCGCAACAGTCATGACCTTCTGGCACTCAGAAACGAACGAGTCACTCGATGTTTGCCCACGAAGGACGCAACAAACAATAGTGAACCAACTTCAAGCAGAGCACAACATCACCGTGCAATGTGGTTTAGAAGTCGAGGTCGTATTCCTCACCCCAACGAAGGGACAAACCGGCAAGACAGTCTATACACCAGCAACAACCAACCATTCCTGGTCCCAAATGACAGTAGACACGCGACGCCTTGTCCCTCTCCTGGAAGAGATCCACCGCACCCTGGCATCCATTGGTATATCCCTTGAACAATTCCACGCCGAGTCCGCACCAGGCCAATTTGAATTCATCCTTCCCCCCCTCGCACCTCTCGCCGCCGTCGACTCTCTCATCGCAGCTAGACAAGTCATCACAGCCGTCGCAGAGCGTCACGGTCTCCGCGCAACGCTTCATCCCCGTCCTATTCCCAATGGCGAAGGCAGTGCTGCGCACGCCCACGTGTCCATCTCTCCTCCCACCCGTGAAGAGAACTTCCTCGCCGGAGTCCTCGCCCACTACACGGCGATCATGGCTTTCACTCTCTCCCAAGATGCAAGCTACGACCGTATTCGCTCGGGTATCTGGTCCGGCTCAGAATGGGTCGCGTGGGGCTTCCAGAACCGCGAAACGCCAGTTCGAAAGATCGGGCCTGGTCACTGGGAAATTAAATCTCTTGACGGGCTGGCGAATCCGTATTTTGCTCTCGCTGCTATTCTCGCTGGTGGTTATTTGGGATTGAAGGAGAATACCCCGCTGACTA